ATCGATCCTGAAGGATTCCTGAATGCTCTAGGGCGATCCTGAAGGATTCTTGAATGCTTTAGGGGAGTTTCCACCTGTGAAAGCCCAGGTTGCTTTGTGGTACAAGGAGATGGCCCTCTCCCTGCCCACAGAGCCTATATGGCTCCATGGTACACAGATGAACTTCTGGCTATGAAGTGTTTGGAGAGACAGCTTGAGCACAGATGGAGGAAATATCGCTGCAACTATGACCAAACACAGCTTAGAAACAATTATCAGGCCTACTCTGTGGCGATACAGCTAGTGAAATGATAGCATTTCTCCAGTCGTATTGCTTCCTCGGTGTGTCATCCAGCAGAGCTATTTCAAGTGGTCTGGGACCTTCTTCAGCCTAATGGTTCCATGGAGGTCCCGGACTGCTCAGTGGCTTTCTGTAACAAATTTGTTACACACTTTGAGGGGAAAAATTGCTCAGATTTGCAAAGAGCTGGACTCCACTGTTGATGCAGAGCCTATGGTTGTGTCCAGTGCTCCGGACGTATATCATAATTTACTGGGTGAGTTTCAGTTGTTACGACCTGAGGATGTGAACAGGGTGCTTGAATTGGTTCATGCCACCACTACGCAACTCAACCCTGGCCCATCATGGCTAATAAAGGAATCTGCCAGGGAGGTTCGCAAATGGATCCTGGAGGGCATCAATTCCTCGTTAAGAGAGGGAGTGGCCCCCACCCCATTAAAGGAGGCAGTGATTCCCCCACTCCTAAAAAAGTCTAATCTGGACTCAGTCCTAGTGATCAACTATTGACCAGTGGCAAACCTCCCTTTTCTGGGCAAGGCGTTGGCATGTATGGTGGCTGAGCAGCTCCAGGCTCTCCTGGATGAAACTGATTATCTAGATCCACTTCAATCAGGTTTCAAGCCAGGTTATGGGATGAAGACTGCCTTGGTTGCCCTGTTTGAGGACCTTTGCTAGGAGGAAGACAGGGGGAATTGCATCCCTGTTGATTCTCCTGGACCTCTCAGTGGCTTTCCTTCTGGACAGATTGGCTGGGATGGGAATGGGAGGCACTGTTTTATGATGGTTCCGCTCCTATCTGGTTGATCGAGTCCAGAAGGTGGTGCTGGGGGACAGTAGCTCTGATCCATGGCAGTTGCATCATGGGGTTCCTCAGGGCTCTATACTGTCCCCCATGCTATTCAACATCTACATGGAACCACTGGGGGAGGTCGTTAGGAGGTTTGGGCTGAGGAGTCAGCAATATGCTGACGACACCCAGCTCTACCTCTCTTTCTCTACCAATCCAGGTGTGGCAGTCAGCATTCTGAACTCATGCCTGGACTCGATAATGGACTGGATGAGGGTCAATAAACTGAGGCTCAGTCCAGACAAGTCAGAAGTGCTGCTGGTAGGTGCTCCACCAGATAGATTAAAGAGCCATTTCCTTGTCTTTGTGTAAAGAGTTCCTGCCATGCTGATGTGATGCCTGCCTGCAAATACTTGTAAATAACTGTAAATACAACCGTCTTGCAAAAGAAGAACTTGTAAGTGTCTTCAATAACTCTGCGTTTTTCTGTCGCCAAATCCTTGACATATATCAACTTTGTCCTTAGCTGGATGAGCAGAGCCTGGCAACAGTCACACATGCACTGGTAACAACCAGACTGGATTACTGCAATGCGCTATACGTGGGGCAGCCTTTGAAGACGGTCCGGCGACTGCAACTGGCACAGAACTGGGCTGCACAGCTGGTAAGTGGTGCCACCGCACAAACTCATATCACACCAGTTTTGAAAAATTTACACTGGCTACCAGTTGCTGCTCGGGCCCAATCCAAAGTGCTTACTTTGACATATAAAGCCCTAAACGGCTTAGGACCTGGTTACCTAAAGAACTGTCTTCTTCCATACAAACCTGCCTATCCTCTAAGATCAAGCGAAGAGGCCCTTCTGAAAGTGCCATCCCTGAAAGAGGCGAGGGGGATGGCATGCTGAAATAGGGCCTTCTCGGCTGTTGCCCCACAACTTTGGAACGTCCTCCCTACAGAGATCTGCCTGGCTCCAACACTTTTGGCTTTTTGGTGCCAGGCAAAGACCTTTCTGTTTAGCCAGCATTTTAATTAAATAGTATTTTTTAGTTGGCCATATGAGCAGCAGAATTTATTAATATTAATGTTTTCATGACTCTTTTAAATATAGGGTATTATTATAATATTGCCTATTTTTAATGGTTTAAATGTTTTTAAAGTTTTAATATTATTGTATGCCTCTCAGAGACCACTGGTAATGGTGGGGCTAAAAAAACCACCTCGTAAATAAATAAATAATGAAACCAGTCTCTCTCACTTTATTTCTCGCTTTTGTTTAGTAGCCTTCAGGAAGTAGAAAAATTGGCTAGATCTTGCTTTAAGAAGTTGTCACAAATGTTAATAGGACAATGTTTTACTCTACACTCCTATTGTTTTCAAATAATATCCCTCCCCCCACCAAAAAAACCCATGAATTCAAAATGACTTCTACAGAGTGACCTCTTGAGTGGCCTAGTTATTTCTCTTCTCAATATGAGCAACAAGCAAAGTTGTACCGGTAATTCACTTTCCAAATTTGCAGCATTATAGCACTCTGGGTGGTGTACTGTCTCTTTACAAAATTGTAGGAAATATTTGCTAGCAGAGGTGAAGATAAAACTAGCTTGCTTCTGGGGGCCTAGTAGTAGTTCTGTCCTGTGAAAAGATGAAATATTTGGTGCAGAACATGAAAGATGAAATTCATCTTCTGGATTTTTCTGTCTTGGGTTCTTGGTCACATTTGAAAACCAAATGAAGGCAGGAGTAGTTTCTCCTGTTTTGTCTTCCTATGTGAAGAAAGTGATGATGGATAGGACCTATCAGGAACTCTCTAGGCAACAAGTAAATAGGGCTAGTGTGTCTTGAAAATATGGAAAGAAATACTGGGCAAAACAAACAGCAATAGCATCTTTCAAAACCAGTTAGAGACTTTTTATGAAAGAACCACAGGGAAACAACAGGACGATTGGTTGAGATGATGTCGTGTCCCATAAAAAGCAAGTGAATTAAGTGTAGAAATTCCATACTAAATAGTGGTATGGAAGTCCATTTTGCTGTAAGTTATCATCTTACACAATGTCAGCTGATAAAATAACACCAGATTTTCATAGGAGGGAACTATTATGAAACCTCAGTTTGTCTATATGGAAATTACAGTACAGTACTTGGAGAGCAAATAGGCTGGTTGAACAAGCTTGTTGTATGGTGTATTCAAAGGAAGGTTGTTGAAGGTTGTTTTTAAAAGCCCCATTTCACCTCTGAAAAACCTCTTAAATCTAAATCTTGTGCCGAAGAATCAAACTGACTGCAAGGACGATCCTTTCACTGTAATGTGGGAAAATAGTGGGAATAACTGAAAAATAGTACCATGGAATCATTTGTTTTCTAGTTAGATTCAAGATGTCTCTACCATCAGGACTGCTAGCCTCTGGGGCTTCTTTATTGGTTAAAAAAAATACCAAACTTGACCAGGGCAGATCTTGGCTCTACCTAGCCTAGTATTGTCTTAATTGAAAGGTAAAATACATGCCGTGTTAAATGTTCACAATGCAACCTAGTCTCATTTTTCTTTTAAGATTCAAAGTAAGGAAGTACAATCCCACCTTAGATCAGGACTACCACACCTAGGGAGAGATACTTCATCCCCCATTTCAGATTTCCCCTTGCATTTTTCATCCCCCAAAATGCGAGGTTTCCAAACTTCAGTTTTCAGTGTTTATCAAAGTTCTTTATCTGTGCAAGCCTTTCAACAAGAAACACACACACACATGAACACAGAGAGAGAGAGAGAGAGAGAGAGAGAGAGAGAGAGAGAGAGAGAGAGAGAGAGAGCAAAAAAAAAACAAGACATTGTGGCACTTTTAACAACTGTTATATTTTAATGCAAGTTTTTGTGGAACATGTCCTATTTTTAAGATCAATAAAGGACAATGGTTTTTGCTTGCATTTCACACCTAGTAATGATTACTAGGTATGAAATGCAACCGAAAGCCACTGTCCCTTTATCTTAGAGCCTTTTGTGGATGTTTACCTTGTAGTCTCTGTATTCTGAAGTGGGTATGTTCAATGAAAACGTATATGAAAATATAGCAGTACGTCTTTAAGGTGCCACAATGTCTTCATTTTTGCTTTTGTTTTGTTTTGTGTTTCTTGTTTATGTGCGTGTGCATGCTAATGCTCAAGCTGCATCCTAGTTGACCCTTCCAATAGCCTTCTTTACTAACTGCTTAAAAGTTTTCAGGAAAAATTAACCCTCAGGTTCTCCTTTCCCTTTGTCCATGCTAGGCAATCAACAAGTAAATGACATGTGGGAATTGGGAAACTTCTGAATTTCATCACTGTCCAGCTGTCATGGTCTGTGTGCTGTGACGATATGGGGAAAAAATATTACCATCACAGTGGACATGTGCTGTGTGGCAAGGTGGATATAGTGGCAAACCACAGCTTTTCAGAGTTAAAACACTGGAGTCTTCATTTGACAAACTATCAATATCTCAGTAAAAGGAAAACCAGCATAAGAAAATATGTCAGAATCTCTACGAGAAGATACTATCAGGAGGTATTACATTTTGGTATATCATAGGAAAAGCCAAAACACAGCCTTGTTTACATGGTGCATTCTAGTTCGCACAAGCTCTCATTCAACTTAAGAACATGAAATATTTAGCTACTACTCTTAGTGACCCTTGTGAAAAGATGTTTTACCTCAGACTTTTCTCTGCTGAAGATATATGCATGTGTGTGTGTGTGTGTAAAATAATGTGTCTGGCACATAAATAATACCTTTCACATAATTTGTAAGATGGGAAATGTTGCCAAAACACAAGTAGGCATTCTTTTCTTTTTTCTTTTTGGGTCCCTTTTGAAATGCTTTATGAATCAGCAAATTGGAGAAGCAGAAGCATCTACAAGGAAGTTAATAACAGGAAGCCGTTTGTGGGGTTTCAGAAGCATTCTAAGGAAGAGCAGGCTATTAATCAGCTCGCATTTGCCCACCCCACAATCTCTGGTTTGTTTCATAAAGCCATCATTTGCTATGCAGATCAGGGCCCATGCATTCATCTTTTGGAGCCTTCCCAGCATTTTCTCTGCTCTGTAAAGCATGTTTGTATCCTGAAGTAGCCAAGAGAGTCCCATGCGAGGAGGAGGAGGAGGAGGAGGCCGAGAAGACATTAGGAACGCAGCCAGTGACAAGAGAGTTCCACATTTCACGGAAAAGTCTTGAAAGCTAAAATGTCTGTGCTTTCCCCTATCCTGATTCCCCCTGAAGTCAAGGAATACATGAAGAAAGGTGAACGCTTTATTAAATGGGACGATGTAAGTATTGTAGCCTTCACATTGACTTTGCATGGTTTTTTAAATTATATAAATAGGGTGGAGAACTCAAGCTTTGCTCCAGGGACACTGAGGTATCTGGAGGTGAATCTACTGCCATGTCTTGGAAACTCAGCCTTATTTGTTGTTGTTGTTCAAGCCTTTCAGTTTTGTTGGGGGACATGCCACATTCTCCTCCACTTCCTTCATGGGGGGGGATTGCATCCACCTTCACAGCAGAGTGGGTGGTGGGAGACAATGGTGCTTGCTCCAGGTGCCAAAGGAGCAAATAATGGCTCAGCCTTTTGAGGGATAAACTCTCAGGCTCCCTCAGGCAGAATGGATCCCTCTAGCTAAACTCTGCTCCAAGAAGCAGGAAAGGAAGATTGGAACTTCTCTCCCAGTGTGTGCCTTAATAAACATCTCCTTCAACATCGGAGGGCAATAGATGAAGGGAATCAAGAGTGGAAAGAAACAAAAATTCAATGACTCTATAATTGTGCTAGGCTTACAAGTCAGTTTGTGCAACATTGGATTGTGTGGTGCATTCCAGCTATTCCAGTCATTCTGTAGCAGGTATCCTTATGGACTGTGGAGAAAGAAATGATATCTAACTACTTAGTTAGCTATGAACTCTGAATGGAACCTTTCCATTCAGTATATCAAAGAGGTTCTGATGGTAGCCCCAGACATACTGCAGCATGCCGTCCATCGTTAGCATAAGCAAACATAAGGCTTGACTGCCCTAAGAAAAACGAAGGTGAATCAATGTGTATTCTCAAAGGCTTTCACGGCCAGAATTTGATGATTGTTGTAGGTTTTTTAGGCTGTTTGGCCATGTTCTGAGGGTTGTTCTTCCTAACATTTTGCCAGTCTCTGTGGCCAGCATCTTCAGAGGACAGGAGTCAGAACTCTGTCTGTGCTCTGGTGAATCAATTCAACAAGTTGATTAAAAACACTTTTCATGGTTTTGGAAGGAGGTGTACTGAAAGTTCCATGTATTTTTATGAGTATGCTATGGCAGCCCTAGAAGTTATATAACTTTCAAGTAAAGTAAGGTGTGAAGCAAAGTGTCTATATTTTACCATCAAAAATCATTAGGATTTCCTTCACAGAAAATATGAGACTGTTAACATTAAATATCCCATGATTTCTCTTTTAGAAATCAAAGATGTATATAAAGTACCATCTTTCCCCAATTCTCTTTAGATCTCTGATACCTCTCTCTGTGTGTGTGTGTGTTTAATTTAATATGAATCTTTTCAGAGAATTTGTCTTATGTGCCATCAAGTTACTTCTGACTAACGGTGACTCCTATAGCGTTTTTGTGGTATATGAGATGTTCATGGGGTAGGTTACCATTGCAATCCTCCGTGAATTTCCATGGCCAAAAAAGAGAGAGATTTGAACTCTGGTCTCCTGAGACTAGTGCAAAACTCTATCTGGTCTCTCTGTATATTTCTGTATATCTGTTTACAGCCGCCTAGAGTGGTCTTAATTGGCTAGATAGGTGGGATATAAATAAATAAATAAATAAATAAATAAATAAATAAATAAATAAATAAATGATGATGAAACACTGTCTGTGTGGAAGAGGGGCTTTTCCTATGGTTCAAAAAACATGCCAGCTTGTGTGAATCGGGGCTTAGTTTCCAAAATTAAAAATATTATAGTAGGCTACAGTAGAGGAAGATGAAGTGGGAAGAAAGGCCATGTCAGCAACCTTAGTTTTGCCCTCTTTTCTCCCTTCCTTTCCCTTTTCCCTTCATCTTGTAAAATTATGCACCTGCAGGAAATGACTGAGTGTTACTCACAGTAGCTTTGTTGCTCCAGGAGCTTCCCCCACCCCAACCCTGGAACAGTGTAAAATGTTTTAAATAAATAATCAGGTTTGCAGCAAATGCTCTGATCAGGGGATCTGGTATGTTAGCACTGCAGCAGCAACTGGTAATATCCAGAAAGGCAGAAATCGGTGGAAAGAAGTTAGCACATTAAGTAACTTGTTTAAAAAAAGGAAATAATCTAATTTAGTTATGTTTGTTTTGAATGTGTTTTTTAAAATAAACAATAAGTTAATTTAACTTGGTTTTTAAATTTACAGCACATGCCTACTCTGAACGCCTTACCAGAATAAAAGTGAAAAATTCCAGCCACAAGTTTGCTTCTAGTTTTCACAGATTAACTCCCAAAACAAACCCAGTAGACCATTCCCCTCACATGCACCTACAATCTAATTGGTCACCTAATTATGGTTGTAAAGGGAACTGTTGTGAGTCCAGCCCTGTTTTCCCATTAGGCTCAATTTTTAAAAGGGCATGGTTCCTGGAGAATTCTCATCTCTTATAAAATACATTTTGCTCCTTTTTTTCCCCTGTCTCCCACCTGCCATCTTTTTCTTTTGCTGGGGCTTGCTTTGTTTATTTGTTTATTTGGCTGCAGTTGTTTTCTCCTTCGTAGTTCTTCTTTTTAGATTACTTTTGGGGTGTGTCTCTCTAACCTCTACAGTCTTCTGTCTTCTCCATTCATCTCCACTTCCTTGTGGAAGTTATATCACCTTGTAGGTGATATAAACGTGCCAGTTTACAGCTATGGTCATAGTGACCACAAAAGTGAGTTTTGGCGCTGTGAAGGAGTTTTGTGTCAGCTACATTGAATTGGTTGTTAAAGTGAGCCTGGGTGGGTTAAAGCGAGCCATTGTAAGTTGTATGTGTCTAATGCACTTTGTAACTTAATCAACGTTTCAATTGATGATCATTTCTGCAAATACTGCACTCCCAAGCCAACTACACCAGAGCACAGAGTGCTGTCCTCTGAAGATGCCGGCCAGAGAGACTGGCAAAACGTTAGGAAGGACAGCCTTCAGAACACTTCCAAAGAGCCCGAAAAAACCACAACAACCATGATGATCATTTCCTTTTTTATACCCCACTTTTCCATCCATTAATTCAAGAATGTGTACATGTTTTCTCCTTCCCCATTTATTACAACATCAACTCTGTGAGGTTGAAAGAGAGCATCTGACCTAAAGTCACCTAGTAAGTTTAAGACTTTGTAGGCTTTTAAACCTGGGAGACATTCAGTAAAAAGTGAAAGACTGATTGAGGCTAGCCCTATTAGAATTATTTTACAGTTTCTAATAGGACACAGCAGAGAGCTTGTAACTACTGAATATGATTTACTATTCTAGATTCTGGTACTTGTAAGGTAAAAAGAAAGCTTACTGTTTCTTAAATGACAAAACCATTTAGGGATGTTTTTGTCATATGTCCTCAAGTCACTCCCTGTTTATGGTGATCCTATGAGTCTATGACCTCTAAAAGGTCTCATTGTTAGCAGCCCTGCTTAAGTCTTGCAAATGTAAAACTGGTTTCCTTTATTGAGTCACCCCATCTCATGTTCTGACTTACTTTTCTCCCTGCTGCCTTCAACTTTCCCTGTGTCATGGTCTTTTCTAGTATGTCTTGTCTTCTCATGGTGTACCCAAAGTATGATAGATTTGTTTAGTTATTTTGGCTTCCAGAGAGAGTTCAGGCTTGAATTCAGTTTCTTGCCACTTATTTGTGTTTCTAGGAGATCTGTCATATCCATAATATTCTCCTGCAACACTGCATTTCAAATGAACCAATTGAACATGTGAATATATAGCTAGCTATATAATGTTTTTTTTAAAAAAAATCATGAGAATACTGAGGTTATTATTGCTTCTTAAATTGAAGGATTATTTTCAACTCTCCAAAGCACCTAAATCTAATAGCAGTTTCATCATGAATGGTATTGTCAAGCAGAGGAAATCTGGCACAAAATATCCCTGCTGGTTAATATCTTGTCTTTGAATAGCTTCTGATTAGAATCTGAAAGCAATGAATCAGCTTTCAAGCAAGTCATTATCTGAATGTGCTCTGACAATAGGGAGGAAATTAATTTGGTTTGTATTTGCATGTGAATTTACCTTATTTCAATTTTTTTCTGCAAATCACTACACGGATCAAAACTCAAGTTATCCTGCAAAGTTTTGACTTCTCCAAATGTTGCAACATAGTGTTTCAATTAAAAAAATATATAGAGATGCATATGTTAGGAAACCATGCTCACAAAAATATGTATATTACTAACGGTAAAAATGTATTGCAGACAGAAAGTTGTTGGCAAAAAATGAATATAATTTGGCAAAAGTGCATACAAAAATACATGCAAACTTTTTTAACATTCTCAAAGTTCAGCATTAATCTGGCTGAAGACTGGGAAAAACTTTCACAATTGATGGCACTTATTACTAGAAAAATTCAGAAATTAAGAGAAACAAAACTTCACAGATTGATCCATCTCTGTAATGAGGAAATAACCATATCAAGTTGTCGCTGTCCACTGACAAAACAGCAGCAAGTATTCCTTTTAGCATTGGTCACCTTTGCTCTTCAAGGCTAGACTATTCCCATATGGCTACAAATGGTTAAACAGAAGGTCCCTTAAAAGCAGACTCCATCATGGCCTGCTCCACTTTCTTTATGGTGCTGTGCAGTTCAGTACTTCTGAATGTCACAGGTAATTTCAGAGCAAATGAGGCTGATAAGAGGTCAGCTCCATATACGCTCCCTTTCCTTCTCCAGTTCCAAACATCAGCATATGTTTGCTTGGTAATTAGCAAGCTGGAAAGTCTGGTTGTTTATTAATTAATGAATTCAGGCGATTTATAAGGTATCCTTAAAAACCAGAAATCTCTGGATGGTGTACAAGAACATATACAATACATTAAACAGTTGTCACTTTGCGGTAGCATTTCATAAGTCTGCAGACAGAGTTCGAAAGCAGAGATTGTCCAATAATTCTGCTGAAAGAGAAGCTTCTTTTGGCTCCCTCTCTCCCTGAATAGTTTCCATTTCCAGCTAGTCCTTATAAGAACTGTGATTCTTCAAAAACTGGTGCAGGAATTTGCTCATTTTCCTCTGCCCTTCCTCCTGTTTTTCCTTTTGTGTCATATCTTTAGATTGTAAAGCAGAAGATGG